AGTAGTAGTAGTAGTAGTAGTAGTAGTAGTATTAGTAGTAGTAGTAGTAGTAGTGGTAGTAGTAGTGGTAGTAGTAGTGGTAGTAGTAGTGGTAGTAGTAGTAGGAGGAGTAGTAGGAGGAGTAGTAGGAGTAGTAGTACAAACAATTCAATCCATGTTTGGAACTCAGAAACAGCAAAATAGTGGAAGTTCTTTTGAAAAAAATCAGAAAATTAAACCAATTAATCAATAGAACAGTCACAGGACCCTTTTCTTTTGTTTTCTGATCCTGAAACTCTCTCAATATGTGTGTATTAAGTGTTCTAGGTGAAGAAAGTAATGCTAAAATATTTCAGCCGCTTCTAGCTCTCGGTATTCTAATCTCTACCCATTTTTTATTGAAGGTCAGCCTTATATAGAGGCCTTTTAGGGCAGCAGAAATGATTTCACCATTTGTTAATTGCCCCTTCCCCAATTTTAATTTTGTTCACTTTAGACCCTATTTCTAGCCTGTTTGTTAAACTAAACCCCAACCTCACCTTCCTGGAAGTTTCCCAGGCAGTTTGTGAAAGATTCCTCTGATGAAAATGCCCTAAGTACCCTCTAAAACCTTGTTATTAAGTATTAACCCTCCTAACCTAAACCAAAGGCAGGCCACCTGATACTCACACCTGGGCCCAAATGGGTGGTCTTTTAGTGCCCAGGTGTGCCTTACCATAAACCCCAAAAATGGTCCCAAACCAGTAAAGTAATGAAACAAATCAAGTAAAACCAAAGGGCTCAAATTAACCAATAGAACCCAAATGTGATGAACCCAAACCCACTGACTAATTCAACCTACGATTGGCTAAAGAAAGAAAGAGAAGAGAAAAAGAAGCAAAGTAGAACTGGGAATATCGGTACCATTTAACAAACCAACGGAACTCTAATTTAAACAAAGAAAACAAGAGGAAATTGACCTACTAATTTGAACAAACCATAACAGAAATAAACGAACGAGGGAATGGTAAAAAGAAGTGAAATCAGAATCGGTAGGCAAACAAAGTTAAAGAAGAAACGGACATACAATCAAAAAGGAGAAAGCATGTGTTGTTTTACCAGAAACACATGAGTGAGCAATTGCTTGACAAATTTGCATGTCTTTGGTCTTGCATGGGGCTGGTGGGCTTCAAAACGAGTAGAAATCCATGCTAATCGCTCATCCTCAAGGAGAATAGTTGAATGGCATAGGTTTCGACCCATTATCGACCCAAAAAATGGCTTGATCTCTGACAAGGGGAGTAAGATTAGGGCTCAGGTTTTGGCGTCAAATTTGGGATTTGGAGGCAAGGGTGGGGATTTTGGGGATATTCGTGTTAGATTCGTGTTCCATGGAATATGGGGATTGTAGAGGAGGAATTTGGGGTGGTTTGGAGTTGTGCCGCCACCGGAGATGGCGAAGAGTTTCAGGGCGGCGCTAGGGTTTGGGTTCAGAGGATCTGAGGGTTGTGAAGGTGAAGTGAAATGGGGGGGGGACCTAAGTTCGGACAATTAAATACATTTAAACACCCTAGTTCCCAGTCGTTCGATGAGTGGAAATCAACGGTTGGGGTAACAGACCTCAAAACGAAGCCGCTTGTTTGGTTAAATAAGATGGACCAGGTTGGGGTGTGGTTTGGGCCGGATCCGGAATGGGTTTTGAGGGGAAAATTATTTGGTCTGGTTGAATTGGCTTTAGCAGCCCTTTTAATTCTCTTTTCCCTTTTTTTCAATTTCCAATTTTCCTTTCCCTTTTCAAATTAAATTAAAACCTAAATTAACTCTTAAACTAAATTAATTTATCAAATTAAGCAAATTACTCATCATAGTATTTACAAAAATTAATTAACTCCTAGATTAAAAGAAAGACTACAAAATTCTAAAATTAAAAGGTTAAAAATGCAAAGTGAGTCAATTTTTGTGATTTTTTCATTTTTTTTATAAAACAACTAATTTACTACCTAAAAATGTAAAAATAAATCCTAAATGCAATTGCAAAGTATTTTTGTATTTTCATGATTTAAATAAAAATTAAATATGCACAGAAAAATGCAAATAATTAATAAAATCCTACAAAAATCCTATAAAATGGCAAATAATTGGAAGCAATCTATTTTCTTAGATTTTATAGGAGTATTTCATATAGGGCAAAAATCACGTGCTCACAGCACTCAACATTTTCGGGGAAGAAATGTAAGCGTATGGCTGTCTTCAGTTCTACCCATGTCTTGAGAGCATCTTCACCGGCCCTGATGGCTTTGTACTTCACCCGCCACCAGAGTTTAGTATCACCCTGAAGATACATGGCAGCATTTTCTACCTTCTTAACTTCTTCTAGGCCCCCCACGGCATCGAAGTACCGTTAGATGTCGAAGATGAAGTTTTCCACTTCTTTGACATTGTGAGCTCCATTGTATGGCTTTGGCTCAGGAATTTTTAGTTTTTGTGTCGTGGGGGCGAGGTTCTCAAAACCCCCGATTTGGCTCCTGTGTCCTCGAAGCAGGTCTTATAAAGCAACATTGACAACATTGAGCTAGTCTGTCAAGTTGTCTATAGTTTGTTGCATGACAGTCATCTTGTCTGCATCTTGTGCCCTGTAGGCTAAATCCTCAGCGCACTCCTGTTGGAGGCCCTCGAATTTGCCAAAATTTTTGGTTGCCTCCGTGGCTGCTGTTTACTAGTCTCCTTCAGAATCGCGACTGATGTTTTCCATATCAACTTTGGCCTGGAGCATTCTGCAGTACAGGTCGTCCAACCTTTGCACTAGGCTGGTTTTTATTTCAGGCAACGTATCCACGATGGGTCGTAATACATCAACCGTCTCTTCAAGGGCTGTAATACGGTCCCCATGATTCACCATGGTTAGAAATGGTGGTAATGGCAATGTGTTCCCTCGTCCGATGTCGAGCCTAGGCACTGATACCAATTGTTACGTGGCGCCTTCCTAAGATTCCTTGAAAGGACGACATAAGGCTAAGCAACTGATATCAGTGCAGTTACTATCCGCCAACTGAGGTCCCCTCCGTACGCTAAAGGAGATTGTCAGTGTCGTACGTGAAAACCAATGTCAAAAGCAATTGAGAGAATATAAATGAGAATTAAGAATGAAAGAAACTTTGATTACATTAATGAAAGCTATTACAGAAAAGCAACACGGTGTCGAGGTGGAGAGACACCAATACAGAGAATTATTTGCTTGCTAGAAAGTTTGATTGCTTGATCCCCCTAATAGTGCTTAAAAAATAAACCAAAGTTACAAGACTAGACCTAAGCTAGAGAAACATAATTGAAGTACATGAAATAAAACTACTCTATATTTACAATAAAAAAGATTTAATTTTCTACAAGGCAGAAACAGGTCCGTTGTCAGCAACCTTGACTTTGGCATCACGATCTCCGCGCGCAGCGCTGTTGGCATCTACCTGCGGCGCTGGCGAGGGATATCGGTGGGACGACAGAGGCAAATGCGCACTTGTCACTTTGCGCAGCCAAGACCACGGGGCCGTCCGCGGCGCGAGGCATTGGGAGGCTTGCTAGGACGCCATGGGCCGCATCCAAAGGGCCATGGGGCATGGCTGGAAAGCCGCCAATGACACTTATTATGTATGACCGGGGGAAATCTGATTTCGCTTATGTTTGGGAACCGGACTTGCAGAGTTTGGGACTTATACGCTTCCGCCGTTTGGGTTTGAAACTGTTATCCTATACTATAAGTGCATTAGTTCTGAATACTTGGGGGACTATTTAGTGCTCCACGGGACAATTTTGAGTTAACGCCCAAACTCATTTCGGGGTTTTTCACGAACAATCCACTGCTAAATTAAAAGAGCATAATATTATCAACAAATATTTTTTTGTAAAAAATGGGTGAACTACATCAAACACTTTGAAATATATCTGAACAACCTAAACAAGCAGAGATTATACAACTTAGTCCTGCCAAAAAAAAAAATAGAAATTGAAATTGGTCAAACCCTTGTTTTGTATTCTTTAGGAAATTGTTATTCCAGAGATAAAATCAAAGTGAACAGATTACAGAAATGTAGATGACTCCAGAGCTTTTGAAGTCAACGAGAACCTTGAGAAAAGAAAAGGAACAGCCATTATATGGGGGATTTATGTTAGGCATAATACATAAATGGCCCTCAAACTTGGCCTCAACTGGCTTCCAACTTTGGTTTTGGAGTGGGGTGGGGGAGGGGGTCATGTTTGATGTTTTATTAATTCACTGGATGTTGAATGAAATGGCGGAATTCAGCTTCAAGAACCATTTCTTTACTTTCTGCCTTGGAAAATATATTAAAAGTGATGACCACAACGAATAACAGACCTTATTTCTTTATGCCTAGGCAAATTCAGCCGATCACTGACGTATATATATTCTTTCTAGCTTCTAAATACTGAATTTTGTATTTCATTTTCAATAGGAACAACTAAGTTATATATATCTAATAACTTGGTCCAACTGTGTCTTAAGAATAAGGAAATAAATAAAAGCTACTGCTGTTCAAATCACGGTTGAGCTCAAAGGCACTTTAACAGCAACTGCTAAATTCACATTTGCATCTCAAACTTGATCAGTGATCACACTGTAAAGATAAGGTTATTGCATTTGATCCCGAGAGATCATTGCCAATCTCATTTTACTCATTCTGAGTAAATAAACTAACAAAAGAAGACTGGAATGAACTTTACACAAAAGCAGCTTCTTTCATTTTTCAACCCTTTTTTCGTCCCCTGCTGCAAAGGTCAGTATTTTCTTCTTTTCCCACTATTTCATTTTCAATATGTCGTAGCATCATTAATTTGGAATAAGGCTGATAAACATGCTTTTCTCATTCTCATAAATAATCAAATTATAAATTACAGAAAGGAATGAACTTACATATTGTATAGTTTTAGTCAACCCTTTGCCGTGCCGAGAACAACAATTTTAAGAGCTAGAGATCATTGATGCATATTTTAAAGAGGGAGTTCATCAACTCAAACTTGCCAATCACACTGAAAACAAAAACTTAAGGATATTATATTATGATATCATGCTAGATTTTATTCCATACGTATCAGATGTATATATATCTCTATTCTTTGGTCAATATATCCATCTTCAAAACTATTTACATAATAGATTTCAACTTAATTTATCTTTTCCTCTAATCAGTAATCGCTATGCAGTAATTCTACTCTCTTTTTTCCAGTAATTCTACTTCACAACCCCTATAAGAAGCAAACCTAAGGTTGCTGCTCACAAGAGACACTGATATATTCACATTTTCCTTGATATTCTTCTTCCAAATGGAACTTCCCACAATGAGTTTTAGCTTGCGCACTTTCTTAACTATCCATGCTGTCATTCTTGTGTTGCAACTCACTTTCCTTTTCTTTACAGTATATGCTGCAGCTGCAGCACTTAGTAATGAGACTGATAAACTTGCCTTAATTGGCTTCAAGTCCCAAATAACTGAAGATCCATCCGGAGTTGTAGCCTCGTGGAATGAATCTGTCGACTTCTGTCGGTGGGCTGGAGTAAGATGTAGCCTTAGACATGAAAGAGTCATCAGTTTGAATCTCCAAGGTCAGAGATTGGCAGGTACAATCTCACCTCATCTTGGAAACCTCTCTTTCCTCAATTCCCTTGACCTTTCAGAAAATTCGTTACACGGTCAAATTCCTCAAGAACTCAGCAGGTTATTTAGGATTCAAAAGTTGAATCTGAGTTTCAACTTACTAGGAGGGGGAATTCCAGTTAATATTTCGCATTGTGTTAAACTCAAGAGCCTCATCTTAGAACGCAACTTTCTCGTAGGACAGATTCCTTCTGATGTTGGATCACTAACAAAGCTAGTGCAACTTTATCTCAGAAATAACAATCTAACAGGAACAATTCCCGCTTCTATTGGGAATCTAACATCTTTACAACAGCTGCACTTATCATATAACAATTTAGCAGGACAAGTGCCTGCTTCTATTGCTAGATTGACCAAATTGAGAGAGATTGGAGTAGCAGTAAATAGACTATCAGGGGAGTTTCCTGCTACATTGTATAATTTGTCCTTTCTTGAATTAATATCAATTTCTTACAACAACTTTGTTGGTAATCTCAGATTCGATATAGGCAACTTGTTCCCTAATCTTCAGATACTTCATTTAGCGCAGAATCACTTCATTGGTTCCATTCCATCCTCTTTAGCCAATGCTACAAAACTGCTGCAGCTTGATATTCCTCAAAATAATTTCACTGGAACCGTACCATCAAGTTTTAGTAACCTACGAAATCTGCTGTGGCTCAATGTTTTTGGTAATTCTCTTGGAAATGGTGCACCTGATGACCTCAACTTCATAGATCATCTAACCAATTGCAGCAACCTTCAATTCCTACATATCGGACTAAATCAGTTTGGAGGTATTCTTCCCAACTCCATAGTGAACCTGTCTAGCCATTTGACAAGGCTAATTATAACGGGAAATCAGATCCGAGGAACCATACCTAAAGACATCTCAAACTTGGTGAGCTTGGATTTACTCTACTTGGGTTACAACCGTCTAACAGGCAGCATTCCAGATTCTGTTGGCAACCTACCAAACTTGGGAAATATCGGTTTGGATTCAAATTCTTTGACAGGGGTGATTCCTCCTTCTATAGGCAACCTTACTAAACTTTTATATCTTTATTTGTCATATAACAAGCTAGAAGGAACCATACCTCCAACTCTAGGAAACTGCAAGCAGTTGCAATATATCCTGCTTTACAAAAACAATCTGAGTGGAGCTATACCCCAGCAACTCGCGACTCTTTCATCTCTCATACTAGTTAACGTGTCTTATAACTCCTTTACTGGTCACCTCCCAACCGATATAGGAAATTGGAGCCGTCTTATTTCTCTTGATCTTTCTCATAACAGCTTTTCCAGTATAATTCCACCATCCCTCGGAAACTGCTTGGATTTGCTGGAAATCCAAATGCAGAGAAACTCCCTCCAAGGAACCATTCCTAATTTAGGCGGCTTGAAGAATCTACAGTTATTAGATCTTTCCTTGAACAACCTATCCGGGTCCATTCCTCATTCCATGGGAACTCTTACTTCCTTAATCTACTTGAACCTGTCATTTAACAATCTAGAGGGTAATGTTCCTGTTACTGGACCATTTTCCAACTTAAGTGCTCTGGTATTAGTTGGGAACCGCAAGCTTTGTGGTGGGATTCAAGAACTGAATTTACCACCATGTGCTGTTCAAGAACCCCAGAGAACACGAAAGAAGCATGTACTTGCCCTCAAGTTTATTTTGGTCATTGTATTTGTTGCTTCGTTCTCAATCCTGCTGCCGGTTATTGTGTTCCTTTATCGGAGAAGAAGTTCGAAAGATCAAATAGATGATAGATCTACATCTGGAAACTTCACCAAAATTTCTTATCAGCAGCTCCTCAAAGCAACTGGTGGATTTTCTTCTGAAAATTTAATTGGCTCTGGAGGTTTCGGGACTGTTTACAAGGGAACTCTAGGCCCTAACGGAATGGTTGTTGCTGTCAAGGTACTCAATCTCCAGCAGGAAGGAGCTTCAAAAAGCTTCATAGCAGAATGCCAAGCATTGAGAAACATTAGGCACCGGAACCTTATCAAGGTCATCACAGCCTGCTCAAGTACTGATTTCAAAGGAAATGAGTTTAAAGCTTTGGTATATCAGTACATGCCAAATGGGAGCTTGGAGGAGTGGTTACATCCAGAAGTGGAGACACCAAAGGATAGCTTGACCATTCTTCAAAGAATAAATATCGTAACTGACGTGGCTTCTGCCCTTCACTATCTTCATCATCAGTGCCAAACTTCGATAGGTCATTGCGATATAAAGCCATCAAATGTTCTTCTTGATGAAGATCTCACAGCTCATCTTGGCGACTTCGGTTTGGTGAGACTCCTTCCTGGACTTGATACTGAAGCTAATCTTAATCAGTTTAGCTCACTTGGAGTAAAAGGAACCATTGGCTATGCAGCTCCAGGTATATATGTCTACCAATTAGCAAAACAAAGCTACGTAAATCTGTAACTTAAGTTTGACATGAACATATGCACTAACATAAGTGGGTTTTGTCTAACATTAGTTGTTTACTTTATCGATTGCAGAATATGGCACAGGTGGCAAGGTCTCCATTTTAGGAGATATGTATAGTTTTGGAATTCTAATATTGGAGATATTCACTGGAAGAAGACCCACAGACACTTTGTTCCAAGAGAGCTCTAGCCTCTACCACTTTGTGAAAACAGCGTTACCGGAGAGAGTTATGGAGATTCTAGACAAAACAACTCTAAATGGTGACATAAAGGGGAAAACAACCAATGGAGAAGAATATTGGGCTAATTTGGAAAGACGTCAGATTGAATGCTTGGTTGATATACTTGAGATTGGAGTTGCATGTTCAGCTGAATCCCCAAGAGATAGATTGACAATGAGGCAAGTTTACAGTCAGTTGGCACAGATCAAAGACAAATTTCTGGTAACGGAAAACAGATGAAGAGGATTGAAGCCTTAGATAACAACTGAAACTTTGAATTTACTTTTCATGCAATGCTATTTCACTATGTTATGTCAGGAATTGAAAAATTCACCATAATGGAAATTGTAAAGACAAAAAGAAATCTGCAACAAAACTAGAGCATTAGAAACTTGCTTCTTCTTTCTGAAGCAAGAGTAGCAAAGTTTAAGAAGTTATGTATGAGATTGGGAAGCTTCCGCTATTTTCAATCCATGGTTTGAATTCTATATTAAAGAACCAGAAGCTTTCTTCATTCTTCTTTCGAAGCAAAACTAGGAAAGTTTTGGACTTTTATGTCTTGTCTTTCTACGAAAGCAAGTATATCAATCTCGTCTTCACATCTAACTTTTCCATACTGGTCTATATGTTATTAATATTAGTTACAAATTCACTAATTCAGGCCCTGTCTTCTTCTTAAACATACCATAATAGCAACTAATCCACATTTGCAACTTAAACTTGACATTACAGCATAAAAGGATTGGTGCATTTGCGCGGTTGCGCCTATAAAAAAAGAGAGACTAAATCAGGATATTCCAACCCCAGCACCCCCTTTCCACCACACAAGGGATATTCCATCTATACAAGATTAAATATTTTATCTTGATTGCACAAACCAAGTAGAGATAAGTATTTTTATACTAAATATAAAAAATAAATTATCTAGTTAATTAAATGTACTTATATTCTTAATCTGAATATAATTGTTATGAACAATGTATATAATTTTGTTTTGATTTATTAATGGGTGAGGTTCATTATCAATCAACATACTTAATAAATTCGATGGCGACAATATACATTATGTGAAATAATAATTTATTGATGGATTTAAAGACTAATGATAACCCTTTAGAAAACTTATAAGTTCTCATTCCATAAATCCTACAAGTGGATTTTATTTTTGATATATGAAACAAACAACACGTCTCTATATATGCTTATCCTTTGTATCCATCCATTCTCCATATGTGCAACCCAATTTAAGTTTTACATACAAGTGGGTAACTTTTACTCTACAGCCTTTCCTCAACTATCTTTGACGTTTGTCCGTGAATTTTTTTTAACTTGCAAATAAAATAGTAGTAATTCAAGTTGATTCTTTGATATATAATTCCTCTTGCACTCGCAAAATACTAGCACGTCCTTTTTTAAGAAAAACATCTACTTCACCGAAATAACAAAATTAACTATCGTTTTTCCAAATATTGTCTCAAACATCTTAACCTCGTCACTGCTACAGTATGTAAAAGCATAACGGTTCTCCCATTCAGTCAACACTTAGTACAAATGATTTGAATTTGGTAATTACCAGAGTTTTAAGAGTTGCACAATGTTAGGTCGTACCCCTGTCGATAGTTCAATAAGTAAAAGTCAATGAGGTGCTGGTTGGAGACCACTTTATGGCTGCCGCAACTAAACAAAAATAGATGTTCTGAAGCTAAAACACAGAACTGTTATTTTCAACTTGCACGTCCAGCATCAACAATCAAAAAAAAATCTCATGATCTCCTCAATTCCAACTGTCTTTGCATTAGATGCAGATCTTCTCAAAATTGTTTTTTTCCTCTTAAATGCTTACAGATTGTTTTAATGCATATACTGCTCCCAAAGAAATGCACAAGAGCAAATTGCAGATGTATATGCGATTCCATAGGGAAGAAATTTAAACTAAAAAATGTACCTCAATAATGCACAAAAATGACACTCACCTGGAAATTTAATCCATCACCCCATATTTATCCATCTAAAAAAGAAAAGATGAGAATCGCCAAGATCTGAACCTATGCCGATGGCAGACAACAACCACCAGATGGACTTGGTATGAATATATTATCTTTTCTTTTTCACGCCATTTCTCATCCCAGGACTGAGGCATCGACCTTTGAGTAAACATCCCCACTCAAAACATAAGTGCAACCTCTTCAAAATCAGCCTTCATGAAGTGCAATCCACCCTAGGTAGCTTGGTAGTCCAGGAACAGCCTCAATTTCTGTGAAAGGAGCTCACGAGTTCCATACAGCGGTTTACTACTGATTATCCAATCCTTCTCGAGCAGCCCTGCCTTGGCACCATGCGACATCTCATCGTAGAAAGCAGAGACAATACAGTAGATGGAAGTCCTCAGGATATCAGCCATCGAATAAGCTTTTGCATAAAAAGGGGATCCTTTTCTTTTTCCTGCAACACCTGCAGCTGAATCTCTCCTTCCTGAGTTTAATGTAGCCCACTTAATACCAGCAGGATCCATTACAGAATTCGATGATGGTAAGTTGGTTTTCTTGCCCATTAGAGTTTCAACAACCAATAAACTGGACAATAAAGTTGAGAGAACAGCCGCATTGCTCCCAGAAAGTTGAGCAACGCCAAACCTATCCTCCTTGTGTGAATGCACGGTCAGTGATGCCACAATGCGAGCACACCAGGCTAGTAGCTGCATGCATTAGTAATAACAGACCATTTCAGGATATGTTAAATGACAGCAAAACTGAAGAAATTTAATTTATAAATTAAGAACAAACGACCAGAGAGAAAAAAGCAGAACAATATCTAATACTAACATTCATTCATATGGAAATTAGTGATTTACCTGAAAGTCATCAAATGATTCATAAATCTTTGAATCAGCAAGCTGTTCATTTGGCGAACGCAACTGATGAGACAGTTGCAAGGAGTTATCAACTGGAGAGCTCTCCAAAACTTCACTTATGTTTCTCGTGAACTGTTCAACAGGGGTCAAGCATACAGAAATTACTCTTTTGTATGTCTCACCACTTTCCTCAAAGAAGGCAGCTCGGCGCCAAGGGTCAACATTACTCTCGCATGCCATGCAAAGATCAAGGTAAGCAAGATACTGCAGAAGAGATTTTGGTGTGCTCTCCTCCAATGCGGCAAGAAGCGGTTCACTTGGATTTGTCTCGGCAGCTGCAGAACCTTTTGGAGGGGCAAAGACAGACCGCTTTGTATGCAACACCTAAATAGTCAAATCAACATCACTTTTGCTTTTTATGCTATTTTCAAATGCTACTTGAGAAAATAACCAGCTTGAACATACACAGCTACTTGTGTCTGTGTCTGTGTGTCTGTGTGTGTGTGTGTGTGAGAGAGAGAGAGAGACTGACTTGGTGTAAATGATGAGATAATTCCCAGCAGAGAATCACCACAAAACTTCCGATGTAAAAGATAATCTGCTCAGTAATAAAGTTTCCTACAGGAAGTTGACCCTTAAACTCGTAAGGTAGAAAAACCGCAAGGAGAGCTGAAAAGACATAACCAACAGCTGAAAGCTTGAGAGCTTTTCCAACAGCTAAAGGTAGCCCCATCTTAAAGCTGAAAAAGGGAGGACGCTGTTGACATGGAACTGTTGTTAGTACCTCGGATTACAGAAAAAGATACTACAAGTCACCACATCAAACTGCAATTTACATGACGGGACGTGCATATTTAATCAGACAATCTTGTCCATGCAGAGAGAAAGCAACCAAAGAGAAATCAAATTATTAGAATCATAGCAATGAGAGAAATCACAAATGGAGTTGAAAACTCTCAATTAACTGTTCCAGACTTCCAGTCCGCATAGACGATTGGGTGCTTTCATGCAGAATCAGATTTTCGTATACAAGGCATTTCCCGTATACATCAATAAAAGTACCTTATTAAAAAAATCCTCAACTCCCCCAACCCTTTCCACATACACACACACAAAAGAAGTAAGCATCTCCTTGTCAAAAAGAAATGGCATTGTCATACTAGCTTAAGGCCTCAACAAATACTGAGTATGAAATAACATTATTTTTTTCCTATAAAGATTTAAATCAAGTGAAGAAAAACAATTAAATTACAATGAGTACCATTAAACATTAAGTGACAAATAATTCAGTTTTATTCCATCACTTCCGCATGAAACAATAGAAAATAGCTCTATTTAACTTCTATACATGAAGCACGAACAAGGTTTAGAAATAGTGTAAAAGGAAGTGCTTCGACTCATCGATATCTGTCTTACTCTTGTTCTAAAAAGGTCGAGGTATACTATCACCTTAGAGTTATAAAAGTGTGCTTCTCCAGTGGATCATGCGCCTATTCACAGTCTATACACGAAGTATAACACAGCAAAGACCAAAATAATATGCAAATATAAATCATTTGTGATTGGAACTACTGTTATTACTTATGCTACCAGAATAATAACTTCCTCAGTATAGTATAAAGAATAGTAATAAATAACCGAGTGTGCAAGACATTCTAATAAAGAGTAAGACACATTTACATGTAAACATCAGTACATATCCAATCAGGCAAACAGCAAATTTAACACCTATGATTCAGCTCTTCACTTTCAGTTAGCAACAGAGAGCAAACTGATTTTAGGTTAAAAAGCTAAAACTATGGATATAACTCAGTTAAAAGTCAATTCAACAAAAGCATATCCAATATCACAATTTATTCATGTGCAATCAATATATTAAAACTGATGTAGAGCAACAAGTTCTATACCTGGATAATCGGGAACTGCAAAACCCAGCGTTTCTTATACACATAGTGGACCGCGTAAAACATTCCAAGCTGCAAACCCCAAAACCCTAACTTTCCAATAACCAGCCGCCTAGTCTTCACTTGATCGAAAGCACCACAGCTCCAGCACAAACTAATCATAGACAAAGAAGTCGATACGGCAGACACCGCCACGAATAGCACGTAGCTAAGGGAAACCCTGGCGCGGAGCCGGAAATCGGAGGAGAGTAGCGGCTGGGAACTAGAAATAGGAACCAATATCAGCTTAACTGAGCCGAGCAAAAGCTCCAAAGGAGAAGCAGCGCGATGAGGCCGAGGAGAGGAGATAATGAAAAGGGAAGTGGAAAAGATGAGAAGAGAGAAGTGGAAAACTATGAAAGCGAAGAGACTGAGGAATGAGGGTTTGAAAGGGGTTGGAGTGAAGAGAGAAAGGAGTAGAGTTTTGGAAAGGAAGAAGACGGCGGTGGATTGAAGTGCTTGCCAGATTAGGAACCCTAGGAACCGGTGTTTGATGACGGTGGAGCCGCCGTCTTTGTCTTTGAAGAGTGATCGCTCCACTATGGATAAAGACATTTTTC